CCCCCCCAACGGCTTAAACCCAAAAATTATATTAAACACGAAAAATGTAAAGCGCCGACACATATTATAGCATGGCTACGTCGTACCGTTGCGTATCGGTACTTTTGCCTAAAACATAACTACAAAAATTCACCGTTTATTGTGAATACTAAATGTATTTAAAATTGTGATAAACATCTTTAAATAAACTAAATAAATAATACGGCAGTCGTCACTAGTTTCGCTAGAAAATGTTAATCGCGACAATTTAAAAATAGCACGTGATCCAACATTTGATCGATGTCTGTCTGATGTCGATGATCTCTTTGGAGATCATCTGTTTTGGGACTTGGTTCGCGTAGGAAAAATTAACCTAGCGGACGAGGAAATTCAATTACATAACACAGAAGTAAGCTGGATCATCATGAGCGAAACGGTAGGAAATAGTCAATCACGCAAAGCGATCTGCAATACAATACTCAAGGCACTACTTGATCATATTAAAACCTTTAGGAACATAGAGGAACGCTCTTCGACGAGAATTCTTTATACAGAAGAACACGCGCGCAGAACACCCTACATAGTACATACCATACGCGATTTAACTGGCAGGCAAGTGTACAATCATGAATCTATTTGTTAGACAATCGCATAAATTGACACTTCATCCTACCTCGCGCACCACTCATAGGTGGACTATAGGAAGCTACCGCTAAGTCACTCAAACACATCGTGATTCTCATGGTAGGAAACACATTATTCGCATATCAAGAATTATCCACTAACGTGATAGAAATTGAGGCGAGTTTGAAGTTCAGACCATTGATCCCATTATTGTCGGATCCCAATGACCTCAGTCCGTTGACACGTCATTTCCTAAAACGTGACTCATTAACAAGTACTCCAGAGTGCAATCTTACAACATTAAAAACAGGACGATTGTCCGCGTGGCAAAAAATAAAACTACCGAGACAACACTGGTGGAGCATATGGAATAAAGAATATCTCAATCAACATCAGCATGGCGCAACAAAATCCAAGGAAAGCATGATGGTCATATCAAGGTTTATACCACGTGTGTTGAGAGGACCCGTCGAGTGCTTAGGATGCGAATTATTCTCTCGACGCAGTCCGAATTGTAAACCTTATGTAGTGTGGGAAATTCCAACTTCCCAAAAAATAGATGTGCCGTCCGTACTGCAAACTGAGGAATCCAAAATCCTGAGCAATGTGATTTCTAATTATTTATCTGCTCTTTATTTTCTATTCTTTCGTTCTTGATCACTTGTTTTTTCATCTTTGTTACCATTATAATATAATAAAAAATTAATTATGAAATATATTTCAGAAGAATTGAACTTTTCATTTGTTAAACATTATGTATATTTTATTCAGCCAAGTCAAAGTTATTCAGTTTCAGAGAAATACAAACTTCCACAGCAATTACCAAATACAAAGCCATTTTTTTCTATTTTTTTATTATCAAAGATAATATTGTAAATGAAAAAGATTGTATTGTTATTGTAACCACATTTGCCGGTGAGGTGGAATGTCGTGGCAGGTGCGGAAGGAATACTCAGATGTATTCAACAACAAATATTTATTAACAGTAATATTCGATGAGTGCACTTGACGCAAGACTCGCGGTTATTAAATTCGGTTCGCCGTGCGCGGTTACAAGTTCAAGCTCGGGTAGATATGATTCGATATACGCTACGAGTGCAGACGATGATTGTGTCACGTTGTCACGTAAAATTGATACTTGGACTTGGATTGTAAGAGAAAAGAAAGCTGAGTCGTAACCCAACTATTAATTTTCTTTTATCGAACTTCATTATAATTTTGGCACTTAGAATAATAGAATAACGCTGAACCAAAAAAGGGATGTTGTACAAGAACAGCAACTAGAACAAAAACTGCCTGAGCTGGGTGGAGTCTCGGTTTATATACGTTTTAGTTTGAGGATGTTGAAGGGTTTGGTGTGGGTTCCAAAGGAGTCCGAAAGTCGGGGGTCGATATCCTATCTCTGATGAGGACTAAGATGCGTCGCAGCCTTGGCGTCCGAAAATCGGGGTTCGAGATTTTATCTCAGATGGGGACTAAGATGCGTTGCAGCCTTGGCGTCCGAAAGTCGGTGGTTGAGATCTTATCTCTGATGGGGACTAAGGTGCGTCGCAGCCTTGGCGTCCGAAAGTCGGGGGTCGATGTCTTATTTCTGATGTAGGTTGAGAAGTGATTGATGTCACAATTGCGCGAGATGTCGAAGGCTTAGATTGCTAATTGACTGCCAACGCCCTGGCCGCGCTGAGTGCACTTGTTTCCGTCAGATCACGAAAGTTAAGCAGCGCCGGACACGGATAGTACTTGGATGGGTGGATCGCCTGGGACTCCGTGTGGCGTTGGCGAAGCGCGCTGGGCCCACC